AAGAAGAGCACGGAGGCGTTTGGTCTGCCTTGTTGTTTGTTTGTTTGTTTTACCAATTGAATTTGTTCATTCTTTTTGAAGTTGAAGATGTGTGCGCTTCTGGGGAAATTTGTATGCCGTGTGTCCCGTGAGGTGAACTGCCCTCCGTCCTTGCTGCTGCCCTGCCGCCCTCGCACTCCCACTCTTTCTCTCTCTGCCCCTTGCTAGACTGTGTGTGTGTGTGCTGCGGTGACAAGAGTGAGGATGGCTGGCCGTGCGCTGTTGGTGTGCGCCCTCTGCGTGCTGTGCTGCGCTGCCGGCGGTGTCGGTGCGTGGGACGGCGGCTACTGCACGGAGAGTGACTGGAGGGACTTGAGGGCGGTTGCGAGGGACATGACGGAGGAGGAGATTGAGGGAAAGTACTGCAGCCGCAAGCCGGAGTTTGTGACGCGGATGCGAGCGAGTGTGCAGGAGGAGGGGGAGACTGTTTCTGGTACGACGCCGGGAGGGATGAGCTCCACTGGGGCACGTGAGGGCACACGGGGGGAAGTGCCAGTCTCACAAGAGGGGGAATTACCGCCACGCGTTGACGGCAACAGTCAACCTGCTAGAGAGAAGGAAAAGACTGAGGAAGATGGTACTAAAGGGAGGGAAGAGGAACAATCACGTGAGGGAGCACCAGCGGCGTCGTTGCCACCGCTACAGTCACATTCACAGCTACAGGACGCCGTGCAGGAGAGTACGCAGGCTAGCGGTCCACCAAAGTTGGGAGAAGACGATGGAAAAGCCGGAGGAAGAGGTGATGATGGCAAAACGGAGGTCGACCAGAGGGCAAAAGCTGGAAGTTCAGCGGAGATAACGCAACAAGCTCACTCTGCAGGTGGCGGTGCTACTGCCAGCGGTCGAGCTGGACAGCCCACTACGGGGGATGGCAGCGACACTCAAACGTCGGTTGCTGCGGTGGGACCGGGAGCAGCAGCTGGCAACGCGGCTGATGCACCGAAAGGCAGTGCGAAGGCGACGCATGGCGACGGTGACGGCAGCACCGCGGCCTCGCACTGCATCTCCCCCCTTGCGCTTCTTCTTCTTCTTGCGTGTGCGGCGGCTGCTGCAATGCTGGCAGCGTGAGGGACACAGAGAGAGAAAGAGAGCCGTGGGCAGCTCGCCCTTCTCTGCTTCTCTCTCTTTGGGTGTGTTCTCCTGCGCGAACCGTCTCGCTCGCCCCACCCCAGGAGGCACACACATAATGTGTTCATATATACACGTCCACTCATGCAGGCCCGTTGTTTTTGTTTTTATCTTTGCACCCGACGAACCGCCGCCGCCGTCCTGCTTGGCTGCATGGGTAGAATGCCGTAACTGTTTTATTCATTTTAATTGTTTTGGTTTTTATTGCTTTCGGTGGGCGGTCTCTTTCGCCCTCCTTCTTCCTGGAGTGTGTTGTACGGGAACAGAGAGCGTTTGTGTGCTGGTCGTCCCACTTGCTGCTGTGCGTCCCCACTGCCCAGTGGATGTGCCCACGCTTCGGCTTCACTGTATGGGGTGTGTTTTTATTTTTGTTGTGATTGTGTTTGGTTGACTGCACTCAGCCTGGAGGCTGCTGATGTGTGCGTGTGAATGAGTGTGTGCGTCTACATGTGGCTGCATTTCTGATGTTGTTGTTGTTTTTTTTTTGCTTCCTCTTCCCGTCCCACCCTGGGCACTTGCACCCACAAACAGAGACGCGTGCGCGAGACAGTCGAGCCACAGCTACCGCGGCGACGCAGGCCACCATAAACAGACGCATTGATCAAGCTAGACCTATGACAACGGCGGATCTTCCCATCATTGATGTCTCCCCGCTTTTTGGGGGCGGAGGGGGCGTGACTGAGG